ACCACACACTAAGACAAAAACAATTAACGTAAATAATTAACAAGTTAATAAAAATATATTACCAGCCTTATCGGCTGTAAAACCAAATAACCATTCTGAACGTGTTTAAGAAGAAGATGACTTTGATATTTGTTTATTGGATTATTTCTATTTATGATTTAGTTAAAAAAAACGAGAATATATATTTTGGTTTGTAAATCTAAAACTTATTTAAAACATATCAATATATTATTTTAAATTGTTAAAAAAAATTGTTCGTGAGCTAGCTCATGACTCATCTGAGCTGGCTCGCATAACTCGCTAAATCATTTAAGTTCGATCACTTAACTCGTTTAGTAAATGGGCCTAAAAACATAGCTCGCGCTTGTCAAAATCCGAGTTGAGCTGAGCCAACTCATGAACTAATTAATGACTCGTTTGATGTCCCTAGAACAAAATATGAGTAAAATCTGTCCTCAAAAACACGTTAGGGTAACAAAAATAAACCATGCGTATGTTACTGACAAATCCATGTTTTAAAAAGATATTAATCATTTTGTTCCAAAATAAAAGAAAAAGATGTTAATCATTGATCAAACATTTATAAGCTCATATTTACTACGAAAAAAACATATTTACTATTTAGCAATTAAGCTGATTGTTGTTGCTATCGAAAAAGGTTGTGTTCTAGAAACCAGGGTTTAAACCTTGATTGGAAAGGGCCTCGATAGATAAATGTACATATGAGTTTCAGTTTTAAACTCCTTAATTAACCAAATAAAACATAATCTACATATTTAAAAGGCATTGTACAACGGTTTATATATACTTTAGATGTAACGTAGCTGCTTATATAGAGCGAAAGAAGTTACTCACAATTGTAAATGTTTAAAATGTTGATTCTTTATAAATGATAAATTATAGTATATATCTTACTTGATATGTGAAAGATACTCACACCATCACACACTTTGCTATTTCCCCCCTAGCTTTTAGATTTCATCATGCAATACTTATGAAGTAACTAAAAATAAAGATCATATAGAAAGCACCACTTGCTTCACGATCTAATTATTTTCCGAGCTCGAAACTATATACAATTCTCTATAAATATAGGTTGAATCCACTGATCCAAATATTAAAAACACAAGAAAAAAAATAATAAGTATCTAATTAAAATGGAATCTCTCAAATCCTTTGCAACTATTCTCCTTGTCATGTTTCTAGCCATGAGAGCTCTAGAGACCGGACCTATGGTTCGAGCCCAGGTATGCGGCGACCAACTGACCGCCGTGCAGGTGTGTGCACCGCTGGTTCTGCCCGGTGCAGTCAGTCCTGCTCCAAACTCCAATTGTTGCACTGCCCTCCAAGCAACTAACAAAGATTGTCTATGTAACGCTCTTAGAGCAGCCACTACACTTGCATCTCTTTGTAACCTTCCATCTTTTGATTGTGGTAAGATGATCCATCCATTAAACATTAGAAGAGAGATTTTAAAATTATTCCATTTAAACATATTTGAATGAAATAATAGATTTGTTGTTCAATTATTAAGTCAATAGTGTTTATTTTTTTCTAGTCGTTATATTTTTGTGGACTGTGTTTTGTGAAATGTACAGGTATAAGTGCCTAGTTTCAGTTCCGAGGATTTGGGGAGTTTGGTCTGCAAAAGACAAGGCGAATAAAATAAAAATATAATGGGAAAATTACTATTTGGTGTTAGCAAAAAGAAAAAATCTTTCAACCA